GACTGCCCCTGCCCCAGGTGCCGCCGGCCGCAGCCGTCACCGCCGAGCCGCGGCCGCGCGGCGGGGCCTCCCGCCCCTGGCCCCCTCAGCGCCGCTGCCCGGCCGCCCGCCACGCGACGACAGCTGCCCAGCAGGAAGCCTCGGTAACAAGTCATCGTCGGCCCGGCAGCAGCTGCAGGCCCGGGCCCCCGCCTCCGCTTCCAGCCGCCAGCAGTACGCGCCACTCGCGCCGCCCCGGCCTCTACGTCCCAGCCTGGCGGGCAGAGGTTAAGTGCACAGCCTTGCGTGGCCGGCGCCGCAAAGGGGACGTGCCCAGACGTAGACGGGGGCGGGGAAAGCCGGGCGATTGGGAGCCGGGAGAGCCCTCAAGAGGGAAAGGTGGGCGGGGAAAAGCTGGAGGCCTCCAGGTGGTGGGTTGTGTTTGTATGGGGAGCCTTTTCCATCGACGCCTGCGCAGTAGCCGCTTCCCCCGCCCGGGGACCGACCTCCAGCTCCACCCGTTTCCCCCCGCTGTCTCCACCCTCCCCCAGGCCACCTCTGCCAGCCAATCAGAACCCGCAGCGGTTTCGGAGGCTGAGGAGCTTCAGGGATTGGCTGCGGCCGGGGGAAGGGCTGGAATTCTATTTGGTGTTGGAGCTGAACCCAGCTGGAACTGGTCTGAGGCTGCGCCGGCCCTGCGAGTGCGGTTTTAAGGGCTTGGCGGGAACGTGCGTGAGGCCGCAGCTTCTTGCTCGGGGTCAGTCCTTTTTTTCGTTATTGCACATGAGACTAGACTCTTTTATTATTGCACGTAAGACTAGACCCTTTGTTCGTTCATTCAGCCACCTCGTATTGGATGGCTGATATGTCCAGCTCTGGGCCAGGGTTTGAGGAGACGGAGTCAGGACCAGCTGCACAATTTGCGGGGCCTAGTGCAAAATGAAAACGCAGTCCCTTGTTCAGAAATTGCTAAGAATTGCAAGAGGGATAGACAGCAGTAAGCCGAGCGCCGGGCTCATTTAAGCATGGTACCCTGTGGGATTGCGCAGGTGGTACATTTGCTAACCTCCAAAAAACGATTGGGGTGGAGGGGAGGTGTTAGCCTTTGAGGAAGTTAGAGGATGATGGATAGACGAGTCTGGCCAAGTGGAAAATTTCTAGATGGGAAGCTATGGTTGACAAAGTAGATAGGAAAAGAGTGAAGGGTTGAGAATGTTAGTAATTTGGACCTTATCCTGTAGGCAGTAGTTAGCCTTTTGAAGGCTTTAAATGGAAAGAAATGAGTCCTGAGAGCAATGTTTGATGACTTGATCTGGTTTTCGAATGTGGAACAAATTGGGAGGCAGGAGGAGGAAGGGAGACTTGGGCGCTGTTGGAATAGTTACACTTGGATCGAAGCTAGAGTAAAAGTAATGGAAATGGAAGAAAATGCTCCTGTTACAAGAGGAGAATCAAATGGCAGTGCACATCCTAATGTTTATCCCTCCTGCTCTTTAGATCCTTTTGCTTTGGCACTCTCTTTGCTTCTTTGTAGTCCTAGCACTATCAATAACTAGCTTTTGGACTTTGGGCAGGTTGCTTCATCTTTCTGCGCCTCAGATTCCTCATCTATAAAGTGAGGGAGTTGAACTAGAGTGATTCCAAGGTTCTGCCAAGCCCAAATTGATTCCAAACCTGTGACTTACTTTTCAGCTAGCCACCAACGCCAGCATTCACTCTTGGGTTCACTGAATATTTACTGAGTCCCTACTATGTGCCAGGTAGTATATTAGGCTGGGAAATACACAGTGCAGTCTGATAGTTGTTTGCTTTTAGTAGGTCACTGACCCCTTCTGGCCAGGAACTTTGCCTCACAGGAGCTGCTAACAGTGACTCGTAGTGCACCCTAAAAGCACACCTCTTAACTTCTGTGAGATGTGAGTTACTCATTTGTAACTTTGAACATCCTCAAGGTCCTTTCTAGTCTTACTAGTTCAACACTTTATAATTCCTTAGATACTAGGAAGGAAGAAAAGGGAGAAGTCACAGATGACACTGAGCTTTGAAGCTTGGTGACTAGGAGAATGTCAGTTGATCCATTTGACAGAAAAAATGAATTTAGAAAACCTGTTCTGGATCAAAGTCTATGAATTCTGTTATGCATATGCAAAATTTCAGACCCCTTTTCTTCCCATTTCACAGATAAGTACTTCAATTTTTGGATCTCCCCCGTTCCCAGCTACAAACTTGTCTACACTGACATCTTCTCATTTGATATATCTCTTTGTCCATTGTTATTTTGGGATCCCATCTCCTTCCACCTGCTCAGAAATATTACTCCGTCAGGTTATCACCTTTAATATACCTTTAATTATCCCTCTCTATTGGACTTTCCTCTTCACTGTTTAAACATGCTCATGTCTATGACATCTTTAAATTAAAAAAAAAAAAAAACCTTTTATGCCCTAGCTTTTATATATTGCTTGTTTTGTCTTTACAGCTAAGATTCTTGAAAGAGTAGTTGGTTCATCATTGGTCAACATCCCTGCTGCCTATTCATCTGTCAACCTGTTGTAATCTAGTTTCTCCGTGCTACTTTACTAATTACTGCTATTTCCATGGTGACCAAGGATGTGATTGTAAACTCAGAAGACATTTATCAGCCCTTAACTGACTTGGTCTTCCTGCAGCGTTGGAAATGGTTATCATTTCCTTTTGAAATTTTTTACTCTGGTTCACAGCACACCAGTCCCTAATGGTGGTCCTCCCATCTTTCTGTCCCTTTTCTGGATTCTTCCTAAGCTCATATTTGGGATCTATCCTTCCCTATCCTTGCCGTCCCTTCTCTTTGTCTCTCTCTCTCTCTTTCTCTCTGTCTCTCTGGCTCTCTCTCTCTCTCTGTCTCTTTCTCTCTGCACTCTTCTGCATGAGCTTATCTACTCTTGTGTAATGAAAAGAGCTTGGGTTCGGGATTTAAAATGACCTTGGTTCAAATCCCAGCTTTACCATTTATTACCTTTGTCAACCTTGGACTGTTCCCTTAATCTTTCTGAGCCTACTTATTCATTTACAAAATGTAATAGCTTACTTGTTAAGCTGTAAATATATGTACAAATGCCTAGCCACATGCCCATTACAAAGTATACACTTGGCAAATATTAGCCCCTTTCCCCTTCCCTGACTTCAGCTACTACCAGTATCTTTAGCCCAGACTATCTCTGGAGCTTTACATCCTTATTTCTAGCTTCCTGTTGGATAACACCTCTCAAGTCTTATGTATACAACACGTCAATGGAGATCAAATTATATTTGATTGACTGCTGTGGGTGAAGCACACTGCTAGGTGTTGGAGATAAAATGGGAAATAAATAAGTAGTCTCTCCCCTTGAAGAACATACAGTCTGTGCAATGGTAAAATTATTCACAGAGTGCTATAGGAATTTGGAGGAACAAATCTTCATTCAGCCTAAGTGGAGTTAGGGAAAGCTTTCTGGAAATGTCTCAAGCTAAACCTTAAAGAATGAGTTAGGTATTAGCCAGAATCAGCAAGGGTAAGAAAGGAATTCCACAGAGGAAACAGTATGAGCAAAGATATGGAGTAATAACATAGCAGTTCTGAAATCCTAGAACATTTAGAGAGAGGCAGGCAACAGTGGGAGGTGAGGCTAGAGAGGCTGACAGGGGGAAAGACATGAAGTGTTATATCCATGCTTAGGAACTTGGCTTTCATCCTGTATATGCTAGGAAGCCACTGAAAGGAGAGAATGACATGGTTAGCTGCAAAAATTATGAACAGAAATTTCTTAGAAGAAACACAAGCAGTGAATACATATCTAAAAGATCCTCAACCTTATTAGAAATCAGAAAAATACAAATTAAGCTAATAGTGAAGTAGTCTTTTACATCCACTAGATTGGCAGCAATTAAGAAATACTGGTAATCCTCTAATTGTTTGAAAATTATTATATCATCAAGTATTTATTAGGCTAGACATTTGCCAGTTATTTCAATAACTCCTCCAATGCCATAGTTTCCAGATATCATCTTAGAAATTCCAACTATGTTCAAGTATTCGAGTTAGTCAATTCCAAGTATGATGTCAAAAATTACTCAGTACTGTGGGTATAATCTGGCCATTGCAGAACAAACCAAAGTGTTGGCATTCATGGATTTAATATCAGTTTCAACTACCCTCAAACAACTAAAATAATCTGTAGTATTATTTTTTTTTAATTTTATATTTATTTTTATGTTTGGCTGTGTTGGGTCTTCGTTTCTGTGCGAGGGCTTTCTCTAGTTGTGGCAAGCGGGGGCCACTCTTCATCGCGGTGTGCGGGCCTCTCACTATCGTGGTCTCTCTTGTTGCGGAGCACAGGCTCCAGATGTGCAGGCTCAGTAGTTGTGGCTCACGGGCCTAGTTGCTTCGCGGCATGTGGGATCTTCCCAGACCAGGGCTCGAACCTGTGTCCCCTGCATTAGCAGGCAGATTCTCAACCACTGCGCCACCAGGGAAGCCCCCAATCTGTAGTATTATTGAATTTCAAACTCAAACCCCGCCTATGACAAGGCTGTTTTTCTCTTCTAGTGAACAAGCCTACCCAGTAGCCACATCTCAAACAAGCTTAATTGTTCTCAACATTTTATGGGGAAGAAATTATATATCACTGTGATATTGACAACTTGAAGATTTACGAAGGTTACGATCTATCCTTCCCAATCCCTATAACCCCCTCCAGCTCACTTCATGTACATTCTGATTCTGAAAGATATATACGACCACCCCCTGGCTTTTTTTTTTTTTTTTTTTTTTTTTTTTTTTT